GCCACTTCTGGCTTTTTTCTTTTTTACTTATGTGATGCTAAGGAATCGAACCCAGGGCCTCAGGCATGCAAGGCAAGCACTCTACCACTGAGCCACCTTCCCAGCCCCCAGAAGACTATTCTTTTAAAGATTCAAGCCAGCAGGTGGTGGTGACTCATGCTTACAATCCTATCTGCTCAGGAGGCTTTGATCTGAGGATCATGGTTTGAAGCCAACCTGGTCAGACAAATCTGAGAGATTCCTATCTATAATGAACCAGCAAAAAACCAGAAATAGAGCTGTGGCTCAAGTGGTAGAGCACCAGCCATGAGCAAGCATGAAGCTCTGTGCAAACAAGGCCAAGTGCAAGCATGAGGCCCTGAGTTCAAGCCCTAGTTACAACACACACACACACTTAAGCTAACCCCACCTATTTGGGGATTCATGTACAATTTGCCTTTTCTTCCCTCTGCTTTGCTCTCTTCCCAGGCATCTGGACAGGACCGCAAACATAGCAAAACAAGCCAGAAGACCTTGGAAGACCTAAACTTGTGCACCTCTGAGGCTCTGCGGGTACAAGGCTTAGGGTTCATGGTTGTACCAGTTTTTGGCTGGGAGGGACTGAAGTAGGAAAGATTGGGGAGTGGTGCCCATTCTCTGGACACTTCCCTCTGCAGGGGAGGTGGGAAAAGTGAAGGGGAAAGGCATCTTGAAAAGTACCAGTTCTTTACCCCTGTCTCTAGGGCCTACCTTAACTCTGACCAAATCCTGTTTATCTTTATTTTCTTCTCCCACTACAGATTGACCCTGTTTCTAATACCCACCCACTTCTAGTCTTTGTCAATCCTAAGAGTGGTGGAAAGCAAGGGCAGAGGTGAGGAGAGCTTGGAGAGAGGAGCGTGTGTGTGTGTGTGTGTGTGTGTGTGTGTGTGTGTGTGTGTGTGTATGTGTGTGTAGGGGCCACTTTGAGAATATCAAGAGTACAGAATATAATTCTCACTTGGCTTCCACCATGCGCTTTTCTCCCCCCTCACGCAGGGTTCTTTGGAAGTTCCAGTATATCCTAAACCCTCGGCAGGTGTTCAACCTCCTGAAGGATGGTCCTGAGCCAGGGTGAGTATAAGTTAGAGGACATCTAACAGTGGTTTTTGTGTGTCTGTTTCTATGTACATTAAGAGCAGGAAAGAGCGTATGTTAGGAAAGAAACCTAAGATGCCAGAATTCCAGTTTCTTCCTTTCCTAAAGTCACTAGGCAGGTATGCTGTCCTCTTGGTTCACTGGTCCATATTTATCCTGTTTGGAGATCCCATCTTTATCCACTGAGTAACTTACAACTTTTTTTATTGTCCTTTTCTCTGTCCGTGTGTGTGTGTGTGTGTGTGTGTGTGTACTGGGGCTTGAACTTAGGACCTTTCATTTTCACTTGGCTTTTTACTCAAAGCTGGCACTTGAGCCATACCTCTACTTCCAGCTTATTGCTGGTTAGTTGGAATAAGAGATCATGGATTTGTCTGTCTAGGCTGGCTTTGATCCTCAGATCTCAGCTTCCTGAGTAGCTAGGATTTACAGGCGTGAGCCATCAGTGCTTGGCTTTTTTTTTTTTTTCTACTGTGTTTTGTCCATCTGAGGATTCAACTCCAGCCCCGTGCATGCTAAGTACTCTACCACTGGACTACGTCCCAGATCATAAACACAACTCTTGTCAAAGGGAAAAAGAGTGATAGGAATGAGAGACAAGATATGTTCTCTAGGAGTTGAGTGGCCTCTTTCCCTTTTTTTGTCTCAGACTCAGATTCTTCAGAGATGTCCCTGATTGCCGGATATTGGTGTGCGGTGGAGATGGCACAGTCGGCTGGATTCTAGAGTGCATTGGTCAGTGGAGGGAGAGGCTTCAGTCAGGAGATGGGAGCAGTTGGTCTGCCAGATCCAACTCTGTCCATCATTTCTTTCACCTGCCTTCCTAGACAAAGCCAACCTGCCTGTGGTGCCTCCTGTTGCTGTGTTGCCTCTGGGCACTGGAAATGATCTGGCTCGGTGCCTCAGGTGGGGGGGAGGTAAGTTGTTAGAAATTGTTTTGCTGGGATCAAGGGTAGGGGGAGTTGAGTAGAAAGAAGAAAGCAGCAGAGTGGATCATGCCTGTAATCCTCGCAACTAAGGAGGCTGAGATGGGAGGATTGAAATTCGAAGCCAGCTGGGTCTGAAAAGTCTATGAGACTCTTATCTCACCAAATAGCCAGAAGTGGAGGTGTGCCTCAGGTGGTAGAAGCGCACCTGTCTTTGCAAGAAAGTTCAGAGATAGTGCTGAGGCCTTTAGTTCAAACTCCAGTACCAACACACACACACACACACACACACACACACACACACACACACACACGGAGGCAACAGAGAAAAACATATGCATCTGATATACAAAGAGGGTCAAGGAAGGAGAAAGGCACAAATAGTTAATTATGACAGTGGAGTGGCCAAAAGGAAGAGAGCTTTAGAAGTAGGGACTACATTCTAAATATAGGACGGTTAAAGGTGGCAGTCCTCAGCCGGGCACTGGTGGCTCACGCCTGTAATCCTAGCTACTCAGGAGGCTGAGATCTGAGGATCGCGGTTCAAAGCCAGCCCGGGCAGGAGAGACGGTGAGACTCCTATCTCCAATAAACCACCAGAAAACCGGAAGTGGCGCTGTAGCTCAAGTGGTAGAGCGCTCGCCTTGAGCTGAAGAGCTGAGGGACAGCGCCCAGGCCCAGAGTTCAAGCCCCACGACCGACAAAAAAAAAAAAAATAAAGGTGGGAGTCCTCTTCCCTATAAACTGAAAGATACATGTCTGTTTCTCACAAACAACTGTTAGGGCTCCGATGACCAAGGAAAACGGTGTGTGTGCATGGAAGGGAGGTAATGGGGGAATAAGAAAGGTTGTGTAAGAGCTAAGCCATGCCAGAGCTAATAACAGGGAACTTGCACATGGTTTATTCATTTAGTTCAACAATTAACCAGCCAGGTGCTGGTGGCTCATGCCTGTAATTCTAGCTACTCAACTCAGGTGACTGAGATCTGAGCATCAGGGTTCAAAGCCAGCCCAGGCAGGAAAGTCTGTGAGAGACTCTTATCTTCAATTAATCACCAGAGAAGTGGAAGTAGCACTGTGGCTCAAGTAGTAGAGTGCTCACCTTGAGTTGAAGAGTTCAGGGACAGCACCCAGGCCCAGAGTTCAAGCCCATGACCAACCAAAAAAAAAAAATTAACCATATGGTCATTCATTCATTCATTATCATTGCAAAAAGCTGGGTAATAATTCTTTTTTAAGCTAGCATACAGCCAGGTTCTGGTGGCTCATGCCTGTAATCCTCGATATTCAGTAGGCTGAGACCTGAGGATCACAGTTTGAAGCCAGCTTGGACAAGAGAGCTGGTGAGACTCTTGTGTTTTTTTGTTTTTGTTTTTGTCTATTGTAGGACAGAATTCAGCCCTTACATGAGTTTGATTTGCCTCTTGGAACATTTTTTAAAAATATATCCTTTTTTTTTTTGCCAGTCCTGGGGCTTGAACTCAGGACCTGGGCACTGCCCCTGAGCCTCTTTTTGCTCAAGCCTAGCATTCTACCACTTGACCCACAGCGCCACTTCTGGTTTTCTGGTAATTTATTGGAGATAAGAGTCTCACGGACTTTCCTGCCTGGGCTGGCTTTGAACAGCCATCCTCAGATCTCAGCCCCCTAAGTAGCTAGGATTACAGGTGTGAGCCAGTAGTGCCTGGCTTGTTCTGTGTATGTGGTACTAAGAAATCAAACCCAGGGTTTCATGAATGCTAGGCAAGCACTCCACCACTAAGCCACATTCCTAGCCCATCTGTAATACTCATCTCCAGCTAACCACCAGAAAACTAGAAGTGGAGCTGTGGCTCTAGTGGCACTAGCCTTGAGCAGAAAAACTCAGGTACAGCACCTAGGCCCTGAGTTCAAGCCCCACAACTGACTACATATGTTTGTACATACATATATAAATAATTTTGCATACATTAATTGTACAAGGAAGCGTTTTATGACATTTCCACCCATATACAATCTGTTTTCATCGATCTCACTCTATCACTTTCTCTTACCTTTCCCCTTCCTAAAACAATTTCAGCAGGTTTCATTGTTCTGTTTTCGTACATGAAAACAAACTACTCAAACATATTCATCTTCACTCACCTTCCTTGTCAGACCAACCCACCCCCATAGTGCCTGTTTCTCGTTCCCTACCTCCTTTTGCTCATTGAACAACTATTTTTTTTTCCTGATTGTAAAGCAGCAAGTTTATTGATAGCACAAGTAGAATATACAGGCTCCATAGAAAGGGGGTCCCAGGACCAGGGATCACTCATTGTCAACTTTCATTGAGATTCTTTTGTGTCTGCATGTGAGTGTGTACACACACGTTTGCTGGTCCTGGAGCATGAACTCAGGGCCTGGGAACTGTCCCTGAGCTTTTGTGGTCAAGGCTAGTATTCTGCCACAACTCCACTTTTGGTGTTTTGGTGGTTTAATTGGTGATAAACATCTCATGGACTTCCCTGCCCATGCTGGGTTTGAATAGTAATCCTCCAATCTCAGCCTCCTGAATAGCCAGGATTACATACTTGAGCCATCAGCAGCCAGCTTCATATTTGGCTTTTTTGTGCTTGGCTAAACTTGTTCAAGGTGATATCCTTCAAGTCTTTCTTTAGTTTTTTTTTTCCTCTTCATCTATCTTTCTTTCTTGCTTCCTTCATTTTTTTCTCCCTTCTTTCTTTCCCCCTCTCCCTCTCTGTCTCCCCCTCCCACCCTGTGCTGCTGGTACTGGGACTTGAACTCGGGGCCTCATGTTCTCACTCATCTTACTTGCTCATAGCTGCTGCTCTACTACTTAAGCCAGCCAGTCCAGCGTTTTTGCTGGTTAATTAGAGATAAAGTCTCATGGACTTTTCTATCTCGATTGTCTTTTGAACCACAATCCTCTGATCTCAGACTCTTGAGTAAGTACAAGATACCTGACTTTCATTTTCTTTATGGCCATGTAATATTCCATAGAGTATACTTACTTCATCTTCTTTATCCATTCATCTGTTGTTGGGCGCCTCGGCTGACTCCACACTATCATTTCTTTCCGAGTCTATTGTAATAGTCCCCTAACTGCATTCCATTTCTAATCTTGTATTCCTTTCAAAGAAAAAAAAGTTTTCAGAAATGTTATTTGTAGGTAAAGAGATCAATAGAGAGTAGGTTGTGCTGGAAATGTTTAGGAGTTGATGTGGTAGGGCTTAGAGTCCAGTTTCAAAATTCCACTGGAGATTATGGAATAGGATTTTGTTAAAGAGTAGGAGAGGGAACCTAGATGGCCAGATGAGCACCAAACAACGTACACTGCAGAAACTTGTGATTGGGCTTAGGGTGAGAGGTGAGGAGTGGGAAGAAGAAGGAACAGAATTGAGCAAGGGGTAGATTATGGAGGCTTATAAATGTTGTGCTTAGGAGTTTTCATCTATATGCTTCCAGAGATCACAAGCTGCATATAGAAATGTGTTTTTTATTTGGTTGGTTTATTTTTTTTACTGTTTGCTTTTCAGTGTTTTCATATACTCAAGAGTTTGCATATTTCACTTATTTACTTATTATTTATGAATGTGGTGTGGAGCTTGATCTCAGGGCCTGGGCACAGTCCCTGAGCTGCTCTTGCCCAAAGCTAGCACCCTACCACTTTGAGCCATAACTCCACTTCCAGTTTTTTGGTGGTTCATTGGAAATAAGAGTCTCACTAATGAAGATAATGAAAAATTAAAACATGAGAACAGTTTAGGGAACATGAATCAAGGTTCTGAGTTCAGTCCCCAGAAACACAAATAAATAAATAGTTTTCAGGCTCATTACAATAATGGTAACTTGAAGGTATAGCTCAAATGGTAGAACACCAGCATGAGCAAGTAAGTAGAACAAGAGCATGAGACCCTGAGTTCAATCTTCATTATCAGTACAAAAAAAAAAAAAAAGACAGGGTTGGGATCCATGTGAGAGAGTTTCCACTCAGTAGGAACTGACAGCAGGTGAGATTACCCAAGGAAAGAAGTAAGAGGTAAGAAGGTCAACTAAGGCAGCAAGAGCTGGTAAACACCACAGTTAAGGGCTGAGCAGAGGGAGAGGAGCTAAAGTTGCTGTAACAAGTGGTCACAAACAGTGGTTTAAAGCAACATGAACTTATCATCTTACAGTTTCAGAGGCCAGATGTTCAAAATAGCTCTCACTGGGATTGAACTCAGAACCTCACACTTCTTAGGCAGGGACTCTACCACTTGAGCAGTACTTCTAGTCCCTTCATTCTTCCATTCATTCAGTGTGTGTGCGTGTGCGTGTGCGCGCGCGCATGCGCATGCACGTGCGTGTGCATGCTTGCGTGTATTTGTGTGTGTGTGTGTAAACATTGTGTATGCCAGTACTAGGGCAACTCAAAGCCTCTAAACTTTTTCACTCAAGGCTAATGCTCTACTCCTTGAGCCACATCTCTACTCCTGGCTTTTTTTTTTTTTTTGTCAGTTGTGGATCTCTGGGCCTGGATGCTATCCCTCAGCTCTTCAACTCAAGGCCTAGCGCTTTACCATAGAGCCATAGTGTCACTTCCAGTTCTCTGGTGGTTAATTGGATAAGTCTCAGGGACTTTCTTGCCCGGTTTGAACTGTGATCCTCAAATCTCAGCCTCCTGAGTAGCTAGGATTACAGGCCTGAGCCACCTGTGCCTGGCTACTCTTGGCTTTTTTGCTGGCTAACTGGAGATAAGAGTTGCATTGGGTGGGGCTGGGAAGCTGTGGCTCAGTGGTAGAGCGCTTGCCTTGCATGCCTGAGGCCCTGGGTTTGATTCCTCAGCACCACATAAGCAAAAAGAAAAAAGCCGGAAGTGGCACTGTGGCTCAAGTGGTAGAGAGCTAGCCTTGAGCTGTAGAGCTGAAGGACAGCGCCCAGGCCTAGAGTTCAGGCCCACAACCAGACCCCCCCCCAAAAAAAAGAGTTGCATTGGGGGCTGGGAAGGTGGCTCAGTGGTAGAGCGCTTGCCTTGCATGCATGAGGCCCTGGGTTCAATTCCTCAGCACCACATAAGCAAAAAGAAAAAAAAAGCCGGAAGTGGCACTGTGGCTCAAGTGGTAGAGTGCTAGCCTTGAGCTGAAGAGCTGAGGGACAGCACCCAGGCCCAGAGTTCAAGCCCCACGACCGGACCCAAAAAAAAAAAATCTGCAAGTAGAGCTGTAGCTCAAGGGGCAGTGTGCCAGCCTTGAGCGAAAAAGCTAAGGCACAGTATCTTGGTCCTGAGTTTCAGAGTTCAAGCTCCAGTACTATCCCTTCCAAAAACAAATAGGGCTTACTGCTAACCTATCTCCTTCTCTTTCCCTAGGGTATGAGGGACAGAATTTGGCCAAGATTCTCAAAGATATAGAGATGAGTAAGGTGGTACATATAGATCGATGGTCTGTGGAAGTGATACCTCAACAAACTGAAGAAAAGTGTGATCCAGTCCCCTTTCACATCATCAATAACTATTTCTCCATTGGTGTGGTGAGTGGGCTAGAGCATAGACAGAAAGGAGAGGGGCTGGGAATGTGGCTGAGTGGTAGAGTGCTTGCCTAGTGTGCATGAAATCCTGGGTTCCATTCCTCAGCACTACATAAATAGAAAAAGCCAGAAATGTTGTTATGGCTCAAGTGGCACTGTCCTTCAGCTTTCTTGATCAAGGCTGTCATTTAGTTGAGCCACAGCTCCAGTTCGGGCTTTTTGGTGGTTTATTGGTGAAAAGTATCTCTCAGACTTTCCTGCTTAGGCTGGCTTGGAACCATGATCCTTAGATCTCAGCTTCCTGAGTAGCTAGGATTACAAGTGTGAGCCACTGGCACCCAGAATTGATTATGTGCTTTTAACTTCTCCAGGATGCCTCTATTGCTCACCAGTTCCACATCATGCGAGAGAAATATCCTGAGAAGTTCAACAGCAGGTAAGGGAAAAGAATTTTTGTTTTCCTGGCTAGTCTGCTCAATCTTCCAGATGAATTTAGATAAACGTTATGATCAAGTTTGACTCAGAATGCTCATCTGGGCAGTGACATCTTTAGGAAACTCTTCCCTACCCCCAAATAACACTCCCTTTGTTCCCTGTGGAGTTGAGAGATTGATGCTCTTTCGTGTCACTTACCATCCCTGCTGGTACTGTACAACCTGTCCTCTCCTTGTTGGGCCTTGTGTCGGGGCTGGCATAGAATGAAGAACAAGCTATGGTACTTTGAATTTGCTACATCTGAATCCATCTTCTCAACGTGCAAAAGGCTGGAGGACTCTTTGACAGTTGAGGTGTGTATATCCCTTTTAGCTTCTTGGATCCAACTTTCTTCCACCACAGACACCTCTCAGAACTCCCCACATTCTTGAACCTCTACTCTTTTGACCTCCCAGTTCTCCAACCCTGACTTCCCAAGTTCTGAAGCTACACAAGTCTCTTTTTCCATCTCTTACAAACCTCCAAATCCTGGCCTTGCCAGGTTGCCCTCTGCTGGAGAGAGCAGTGACATCTATAATTATGCCATGAGATAAAAACATCTGTGTTCTCCCTGGGGGCTGTGTCCTGCTTCCCTCAGATCTGTGGAAAACCTCTGGATCTGACCAACCTATCACTAGAAGGCATCGCAGTACTGAACATCCCTAGTATGCATGGTGGCTCCAACCTCTGGGGTGACACCAAGAGACCACAGGGGGATATCTGTGGGATCAACCAGGCCTTAGGCACTACAGCTAAAGTCATCACCGACCCTGACATCCTGAAAACCTGTGTGCCAGGTCAGAGGAGTGCCTTGGGAGCCAAGTGGGCAGGGCTGAGGGAAAGGTATGACTTGAGAGCTTCCTGCATCTATAAAACCCATGTCTCTACTTCTCATCCCCAGACCTAAGTGACAAGCGACTGGAAGTAGTAGGACTGGAAGGTGCGATTGAGATGGGCCAGATCTATACCAAGCTCAAGAGTGCTGGACGTCGACTGGCCAAGTGCTCTGAGATTACTTTCCAGTAAGGAAGACCTCTGAGGGAAGGCTTCTAGGGCCAGGAGCACAGAGGATTATGGGAACAGTGGGGGAGGGGCTTCCTTAGTGAAAAAAGATCTCAAAGCCAACCTGAGAAACAGAATTTTGGTATTTGGTTGATAATGAAATCTCCACTAATTTTCCGTGACCTTCCACAGTACCACAAAAACCCTTCCCATGCAAATTGATGGAGAACCTTGGATGCAGACACCCTGTACAGTGAGTATTGCGTAGGGCTGTAAAAAACTGAACCCCCTTGGGGCTGGGAAGGTGGCTCAGTAGTAGAGTGCTTGCCGTGCATGCAAGAGGCCCTGGGTTCGATTCCTCAGCACCACATAAGCAAAAAGAGAAAAGCTGGAAGTGGCGCTGTGGCTCAAGTGGTAGAACGCTAGCCTTGAGCTGAAGAGCTGAGGGACAGCGCCCAGGCCCAGAGTTTAGGCCCCACAACCAGGCCCCCCCCCCAAAAAAAAAACTGAACCCTCTTTGCTGGACACTGGTGGCTCATGCCTGTAATCCTAGCTGCTCAGGAGGCTGAGATCTGAGAATTGCGGTTTGGAGCTAGCCCAGGCAGAAAAATCCATGAGACTCTTTATCTCCAATAAACTACTCAGAAAAAGCTGGAAGTGGCACTGTGGCTCAAGTGGTAGACTGCTAGCTTTGAGCACAGAGAGGCTCAGGGACAGTGCCCAGGACTGGGCGGGGGAGTGGGGGGGGGGAGAGATGGAACCCTCTGTATGTTGGTATGTGGGAGGCTGAGATTGGGAAGATCAGCTCAGGTAGAAAAATCCTGGGAAGGTGGCTCAGTGGTAGAGTGCTTGCCTTGCATGCATGAGGCCCTGGGTTCGATTCCTCAGCACCACATAAGCAAAGAGAAAAAAGCCGGAAGTGGAACTGTGGCTCAAGTGGTAGTGCGCTGGCCTTGAGCTGAATTGCTGAGGGACAGCGCCCAGGCCCAGATTTCAGGCCCCACGACGGGACCAAAAAAAAAAAAAAAATCCATGAACAACCCCCACCTTCACCCCCTTCCCCGGGTCTCATGGAGGGAAGCTGGACACAGTGGTGTGTACCTGTGGTCCCAGTAACAAGGAAAGGCAAAAAGTAAGATGGGCAGGAAGTAAGACCTGATCATGAAATAAATCCAGTATAACCAGTGAAAACAGGACTGGAATGGCTCAGTAGTACCAGTCCAGCCTAGCAAGGTCAAGATTCCGAGTTCAAACCCCAGTACTTTAAAAAAAAAGAAAAGAAAAGAAAAAGCCAAAGCCGGGCTCCAGTGATTTGTGTTGTAATCCTAGCTACTCAGGAGGCTGAGATCTGAGGATCGCAGTTCAAAGCCAGCCCAGGCAAGAAAGTCTGTGAGCCTCTTATCTCCATTTAATCACCAAAAACATCTGGAAGTAGGACTGTTGCTTAAGTGCTAGAATGTTAGCTCGCCTTAAGCACAAAGAGGCTCAGTGACAGCACCTTGGCCCTGAGTTTAAGCCTCAGGTCTGGCACAAACAAACTGTGATCCTACATCTCCATTCTTTAGCTTCTTCCTCCTGGTACTCAAAATTCCTCTGGGTACTGGTTCTCCCAAACCCTGATTTCCCAGCCCCTAGCCTCCTTCCTGCGGCCTCTCCAGGATACCAGAGACCTGACCTACCTTAGAGTCCCCAAATTTTCACTCAAATCCTTAGTTCCCGAGGTCCTGCCTTTGAATATGTTCCCTTCCCTTCCAGATCAAGATCACCCACAAGAATCAGATGCCCATGCTCATGGGCCCACCTCCTCGTTCCCACAATTTCTTTGGCTTCTTGGGCTGAGAGTGACACCTTCAGCCTTGAACCCTCAACCCATCCCGGATGCCACCTTCTAGACTCTGTACATTGCTGCCACACCTTCCTGCCAGCTCAGGGAGGTGTTCCTTCACCCTCACAGTATTTATTATCCTAGACCACCTCACTGCTCACATACACACACACACACACACACACACACACACACGAATGCACTTACATACCCCACAAACACATATGTTAAAAGTGCCTCATCTAAATAAAATGACTTTTTCTCCCCACTGGGATATCTATAAGTAAGTGATACATCTCTTTCTTTTACAACTTTACTCCATCAAAGATTCCAAGAAACAAGAAAAAAATAAAAACAAAAAAAACAGGGGATGGGAATGTGGCTTAGTGGTAGAGTGCTTGCCTAGCATGCATGAAGCTCTGGGTTCAAGTCCTCAGTACCATATATACAGAAAAAGCCAGAAGTGGCACTGTGGCTCAAGTGGTAGAGTGCTAGCCTTGAGCAAAAAGGAGCTCAGGGACAATGCCCAGGCCCCAAAACTAGCAAAAACAAAACACAGCACCAGGTTTTGAATATTTATTCCAGGAAATGTTAACCTAAGGGAAGACTGCAGAAAACATAGGCATTGCTGTCAACCCCAAGGAAAAAAAAGACCTCATATGAAATCACTCAGACCTGCTGCCCACTGAGGAGGGGGCTGTTCTCACCCACAGGGCAAGTGCGGAAGACCTGGGGCAGACGTAGCCAGTGGATACCATTGTGTGGCAGCTGGGAAATGGGGAGAACAGAGCCCTGCTTCATCAGTCTGCGCCTGATAGTGGGAGAAAAGGGGGAGAGAACTGATTAGCAAGGGAAAAGGCAGCCAATGGATGCTTCTCCAAAGAATGGATATACCCCTATCCCTGGTCTACTTGACCTTGATCCTAGCTCCCTCTCCTCAACCTCCAAGGTTTAAGCTTTGTTATTTCTCTAGTTATCTTGATTCATTCTGTCTTATTACATTTTCTGCTTTGAGACCTTGCCACCTCAGGCTTGATTATCTGCCTTTGTCACAAGCATGAAATCCTGTTCAAAACCCCAATTGCCCCACACAACATTAACAACAGTCATCCATGCTATTGATTCTGACACCTGTGTCTGCCCCAGATAGTTTATTCACACAGTTCCTAATCCTGACACTCTATGTGTGTGTGTGTGGGGGGGGATTCCTTTTCCTACTTCTCAGAGGCTCAAAGTTTAAGCTACTTCTCCAACATCCCCACAGATAGGCAAGGCTGCAACCCAGGTCTCTCTAATTCCCCAAGCTCCAGCTCTTTCCTGGGCACCATGTTTCCCCAAAGGAAGTGGTAGTTTAGTTCTGCTGCACTTGAAGAAGCATGAGTACAAGTAACAAGGGATTTGGGATCTGTGCTAAATGCCAGGATTCTCACCTATATATTAGAGATGCAAGCACCACAGCCATCAACACCAGTAAGATGCTCATAATCAGGGGAGCCTGGCCAAGGCCTGCTTCTTGACCTGTGAACAGAATCCCAGGCATGCTTCAGTCAGTGTTTGTTCTTCCCAGAGACACCTCGGCGGGCTATCCTTCATCCTGCCAAGTACATACTAGGTATGATAAGCTGAGTGCTGGCCACTGCCAGGCTATTGGCATCAGCTAGAGACACATTGAGGCAGTAGGTTCCTGAGCCACCGGTCAGTGCTTGGTGCAGAACCAGCTGGCAGGCTGGGCTTGGTGGCACAGACTGGCACAGTCGCTGGGCAGGGGGCTGACATCCTGGTGATGAAATATCCATACAGGCTTCTTTGGGCAGCCTGGAAGAGATACAAGCTTGTATCAAGGATCTAGAAAGAAACACATCTTCAAAAAGCAAGAACAAAGCCAGGAAGCTAGTGGCTCATGTCAGTAGTCCTAGCTACTCAGGAGACTGAGATCTGAGGATCTCAGTTCAAAGCCAGCCCGGGCAGGAAAGTCTGTGACACTCTTCTCTCCAATTAACCACCAAAAAAGTGGAAGTGGTGCTGTGGCTCAAGCAGTAGAGCACTTGCCTTGAGCTAAAGAGCTCGGTGTCCAGGCCCAGAGTTCAAGCTCCATGACCAACAACAACAACAAAAGCAAGAGCAGGCAACTGTGGCTCACGCCTATAATTCTAGTTACTCAGGAGGCTGAGATTTGAAGATTGTGGTTCAAAGCCAACTCAGGGAGGAACGTCCATGAGACTCGGATCTCCAATTCACCACCAGAAAACCTGAAGTGGCGCTGTGGCTCAAGTGGTAGAACACTCACCTTGAGCTGAAGAGCTGAGGGACAACACCTAGGCCCAGGGTTCAAGCCCCATGACCAAAGTGGGGTGGGGTGGAAGGGAGCAGGAGCAGTGGTCAACCCAAGAATTATGGCAGCCAGCAGGACACTCACCCGCCTTGGCAGGACACAGTCAGTTCAAATGCATCCCCATCACTGGATGGAATAGCTTGCAGGATCTCAGCATTTTCAATGCCCTCTGCAGAATTGCAAGAATATACATAGGAATTCCTCTACCAGGCCCTTCTAAGCCCACCCCTGTGTCTTTCAGGAAGGCCCTATCATTTGAGTATTCCCAAGTAATTCTGCCCAAGGTAGCTCGTGTGAGCCAGTCCCAGGCAGCATCTGCCTCCCAGCCTCAATCCCCAAGACTCACGGACAATGTCCAGATTAAGGGAAAAAGAACCATATCGATACAGGACACAGTCCAGGGGTACTTGTCTCTTCACCAACGTTAATGTGTCTGTGCCATCCAGCAGGGGACTCGGGGACTCTGGCAGGAAAGGATTGGAGAGGCAAGATCAAGAGACAGACTCATTTGGAGGAAGAGGCCAAACAGGCATTTTCCTAAATTGAGCTAAAGCTACTAGAACCTGGATTAGAAGTAGCCAAGATCTAGACAATCTCACTGATAAGGAAACCAACACTGAGAAGACAATTACTATATTAAGAGTCCCGTAAGGTGCCAGGCGCTGGTGGCTCACGCCTGTAATCCTAGCTACTCAGGAGGCTGGTCTGAGGATCGTGGTTCAAAGCCAGCCTGGGCAGGAAAATCCATGAGACTCTTATCTCCAATAAAAACCACTAGAAAACTGGAAGTGGCGCTGTGGCTCAAGTGGTAGAGTGCTCGCTTTGAGCTGAAGAGCTGAGGGACAGCACCTAGGCCCAGAGTTCAAGCCCCATGACCGACCAAAAAAAAAAAAAAGAGTCACATAACGGGGCTGGGAACATGGCTTAGTGGTAGAATGCTTGCCTAGCATGCATGAAGCCCTGAGTTCAATTCTCCAGTACCATATAAACAGAAAAACCCAGAAGTGGCTCTGTGGTTCAAGTGGTAGAGTGCTAGCCTTTTTTTTTTTAAATAATGTTTTACTGAGGGGCTGGGAAGGTGGCTCAGTGGTAGAGCGCTTGCCTTGCATGCCTGAGGCCCTGGTTTCGATTCCTCAGCACCACATAAGCAAAAAGCCTGAAGTGGTGCTGTGGCTCAAGTGGTAGAGCGCTAGCCTTGAGCTAAAGAGCTGAGGGACAGCGCCCAGGCCCAGAGTTCAGGCCCCACAACCGGACCCCCAAAATTTTTTTTATTGAGATTAAGTGATTATATTAATTTCACAAATTTCACAGTATTGTGGGATAGACTTAAAGTCAAATATACATTTTAACCTTCACAAGGCAAATTGTCATTATCATGGTCTATAAAATTTGTGAATTCAATAAGATTTAACCATACAACTATTTCTTTCAGAGCAACTGGAGTACTAGCCTTGAGCAAAAAGAAGCTCAGGGACAGTGCCCAGGCCCTGAGTTTAAGCCCCAAGACTGCCAAAAAAAAAAAAAAGGGGTCACATAAGGGGAGAGTTGGAGTGTTTTTCTCCCCTCTTTCATGCCAGTGCTGGGACTTGAACTTGGCCTGAGCTTTTTTGTCCAAGGGTAGCTCTCCACCACTTGAGCCATAGCCCCACTTCTGTTGGTGTTTTCATTCTGTTTCGTTTTGTTTGGTGTTGAATTGGAAATACGACTCTCATGGATTTTCTTCCTGGAGCCTGCTTGAACTGGCTTCAAACTGTGGTCCTCAGATCTCAACCTCCTGAGTAGCTAGGATTATAGGTGTGAGCTGGTGGCTCCTGACAAAGTGTTTTTTAAATCCCCAAATGTTTATCATGCTTCACACAGCACTAGGTTCTGGGTTAGGCACTTGGCCCATTTGTACATTGCTATCTCTCTTTTTTCTTGAGGATATCAGGGCCTGAGAACGGTTACTGTGTTTTTATTCCTGAATAGAAATTGTGATATAAATATGTAAATGGTCACAGTCTGTTCCCTGGCCTTCCCAGCTGTTCTCCTTAAGGGTAGAGAAGCAACAAACTTTCTCCCCTTAGCTAGTAGAACACACCAGTTCCCTGAATCCTAAAACTCTTGCAAATCATGAACAGAAATGTAAGAGCTTTGGAGCCAGTGAGGGAGTGCTGAGAGAGCACAGTGCTAAATCAAGGTCTGGGTAGCATCAGGGCCCTGCCTGTCTTTACCAGAGGAGTGACAAATACCACACACTCGCGAACCTCACTCACAATCCTTCTCTTACCTGTGATACTTTCTGCAGGCACAAATGAGCTGGCAACTAGACCTTCAGGTTCAAGAGTGGTTAACTTTCCAGGTGTGGTCACCACCAATTCTGTGGTGGTTATGGGTGCCACTGTGGCTCCAGAGGGCTCTGCAGGTGACATGTTTGCAGTTGACATGTTTGTGAGTGTGGTATTTATGGCCTCTGAGGTTGGCACTTGCTCTGGTGTAGTATTTATGATCCCTGTGGTTGGCACCTGCATGACTGTGGTTCCAGAGAGCTCTGTAGTTAGCACTTGACTAGGTGTAGTACTAACAACGTCTGTAGTGGGCCTTTGCCCAGCTGTGGTACCAGAGGCCTCTGCAGTTGGTAAACCTCCATCTGTGGTACCTGGAACTGGGGAGGAGCCACAGGAAGGAAGAGGAATAGTAGCCTGTAGCACCACCTGGGCAGTGATTGGGCCTGACTCCACGTAAGTGTGAGTGACCATTTGCTCCCGAGAGATCAGGGTCCCAGTACTATCTCCAAAGTCCCAAGTGTAAGAGAGGTCAGCCCCAGTCAAATAACCACTGGGGTCATGAAGCCGAAGGGCAAAGATCAGAGGTTGGTTTTTCAGGAAGTGCTTATTTTCTCCATCCAAGGCCTGCAGCTGGGACACACTCACTGAGAAAGGCACCTGATCTGGAGGTAGAGGCAGAAAAGGTGAGAATCAGCCCTGGGCCACAGCTGCTTTTTTTTTTTTTTTTGGCTTGTGGGGACTGAACTCCGGGCATGGGCGCTGTCCCTGAGCTCTTCAGCTCAAGGCCAGCACTCCACCACTTAGGCCACAGCGCCACTTAAGACACAGCACCACTTCCGGCTTTTTCTGCGTATGTGGTGCCAGGGCCTCATGCATCCAAGGCAAGCACTCTACCACTGAGCCACCTTCCCAGCCCCATGGCTTCTCTTTTAACAGCCACATCTTCCAGACTAAAGGGAATTACTTGGCTCTTCACATTCCTCCTCCCAGACCTTCCTGGCTCCTATCCCTTGCAGATTGTATAGTTTGACCCTTTCCACTGTGGCTAAAACTCCCCACTTTCTCCTGCCTTATGATTGGTCTTGATCCTTTTTTAAACTCTTACCAGTTATGGTGAAGGCTGAGCTGGAGTGAGCAAGGGGGACATAGCTCTGGGACCCCCGACGGTGGTAGACAGTCACTTCCATGGTGTGCGTACCCAGTATTGCCTGTTCTGTCCCAATGCTCAGTCTGGACACTGGTCCCCCCAGAACTTGCCAGTATTGACCTGATGGTTTTGGAAGAGAAAAACAGGAAGGGGAAGACTATTGATCCAAGGGGCCTGAGGAACAGAGTTTGACAAAGGGCAGGAGAATACAGAGATACACTGAGGATGATTATTATAGAAGGTGTGAAAATGGGTGTGTGCTGACAGGGAAGGGATCTCAATGGGAGAGGAGATACAATTGGGGACAACCTGCCAGAAGGAATCATGATAGAGTTGAAGGGAGCTGAGTGCTATGGAAGAGGAAGAAGCAAAGAAAGAAATAAAGGTTTGGAGCTGGACACTGGTGGCTCACACCTGTAATCCTAGCTACTCAGGAGGCTGAGATCTGAGGATCGCAGTTCAAAGCTAGCCTGGGCAGGAAAGGCCGTGAAACTTTGGAAGTGGTGCTGTGGCTCAAGTGGTAGAGCCCTAGCCTTCAGCTGAGGGACAGCGCTTAGGCCCAGAGTTCAAGCCCCATGAACCACAGGGGGAAAAAAAAAATGAGATTTGAGGATCATGGTTCAAAACCACCCTGGGCAGAAAAGTCCATGAGACTCTTATCTTCAATTAACCACCAGAAAATCAGAAATGGCACTGTGGCTCAAGTTATACTAGAATGCTAACCTAGCGCAAAAGAGCTCAGAGTCAGGCCCTGTGTTCAAGCCCCATGACCAAAAAAAAAAAAAAAAGGAAAGAAATGAAGGTTAGGGAAAATCACAGAAGTTATGAGCTGAAAAGAAAGGCAATCAGGTAGCAAGAAGTAATTACAAGTGTGAAGGACAAGACAAAGAAGGTAGTTCCTTACCCCAGGTCTTCCAGACATAAACAAAACGTCTTCTGTGAGACCAAAGTCCAGATGGGCAGGGTCTGCCATCAGGGAAGATACAGGCTCCATCTGGTTCCTGGGGATACACTGGCTGTCCTTCCCAGACTTGGCTCCCTAAAAGGTGGACACAGTCCCTCTAAGTCCTGGCATTCTTTGTATACACCAAAACCCATAAAATAGCTACCAGGGATCAATGAGGAGCTCTGGGAACACTGTCTACCTAAAACATACAGTCTCCATGGCATAAGCAACTTGAAGTGATAGTTGGGGATGAGGGTATATGGAAACTACAATTTAAGATTCATAATGTAAAGCTGGGCACTGGTGGCTCACACCTGTAATTCTAGTCACCTAGTTAGCTGATACCTGAAAATTGTGGTTCAAAGCCATCTAGGACAGAAAAGTCCTTGAGACTCTTATCTTCAATTAACTCACAAAAAAGTCAGAAGGCCAAGTGCTGGTGGCTCATACCTGTAATCCTAGCTACTCAGAAGGCTGAGATCTGGGGATCACAGTTCAAAGCCAGCCCGGGCAGGAAAGTCCGTGAGACTTGTATCTCCAATAAACCACTCAGAAAACGGGAAGTGGCTCTGTGGCTCAAGTGGTAGAGCACTAGCCTTGAGCTGAAGGGCTGAGGGACAGCTCCCAGGCCCAGGGTTCAAGCCCCAAGACTGACCAAAAAAAAAAGAAAAGAAAACAGAAACAAACAAACAAAAAAAAAATCAGAAAACTGGAAATAGCACTGTGGCTCAAGTGGTAGAGTGCTCGCCTTGAGCTGAAGGGCTGAGGGACAGCGCCCAGGCCCAGAGTTCAAGGCTTGTGACTAACAAAAAAAAAAGTCAGAAGTTGGTATGACAAGTGGTAGAACACCAGCCTTGAGTGAAAAAAGCTAAGGGATAGTGTCCAGGCCTTGTGTTTAAGCTCCAGTACCAGCATGCATGCCTGTGAGCGCACACACACACACACACACACACACACACACATATACACACATACAAAAGATAGTCATATGTTTATATTTACATAAATAAATGGCTAGAAGACCATGAGATAAAATGTTTACAATGATTTTTGTCTACCCACATTTACTGAGCTTTATTCCAGGCTAGAGCAGCTCTGTCCTAACTACTGATAATCATATTTTCATTATTTTTTGGGGGGTGTCCGTTATGGGGCTTGAACTCTGGGCCTGGTCGCTGCCCCCCAGCTCTTCAGCTCAAGGTGAGCTCTTTACCATTTGAGCTACAGCTCCACTTCCTGTTTTCTGGTGGTTTATTGGAGATAAAAGTCTCACCAAGGGGCTGGGAAGGTGGCTCAGTGGTAGAGTGCTTACCTTGCATGCATGAGGCCTGGGTTCAATTCCTCAGCACCACATAAGCAGAAAATAGCCAGAAGTAGTGCTGTGGCTCAAGTGGTAGAACGCTAGCCTTGAGCTGAAGAGTTGAAGGACAGCGACCAGGCCCCAGAATTCAGGCCCCACAACCAACAAAAAATAAAATAAAATGCCAATACTTGGGCTAGGAATGTGGCTTAGTGGTAGAGTGCTTGCCTAGTATGCATGAAGCCCTGGGTTCAATTCCTTCAAAAAAAAGGGCTGGGAAGGTGGCTCAGTGGTAGAGCTCTTGCCTTGCATGCTTGAGCCCTGGGTTTGATTCCTCAGCACCACATAAGCAAAAAGAAAAAAGCCGGAAGTGGCGCTGTGGCTCAAGTGGTAGAGCGCTAGCCTTGAGCTGAAGAGCTGAGGGACAGTGCCCAGGCCCAGAGTTCAGGCCCCACGACTGGACCCTCCCCCCCAAAAAAAAAGTCTCATGGACTTTCCTGCCCGGGCTGGCTTTGAACCTTGATCCTCAGATCTCAGCCTTCCGAGCAGCTAGGATTAGAGGCATGAGCCACCGGCGCCTGGCCACATTTTCTTTTCTTTCTTTGTCATTCATGGGGCTTGAACTCTGGGCCTGGGCACTGTCCTTCAGCTCTTCAGCTCAAGGCTAGCACGCTACCACTTGAGCTACAGCGCCACTCTGGCTTTTTCTGCTTATGTGGTGCTGAGGAATCGAACCCAGGGCCTCATGCATGTACGGCAAGCACTCTACCACTGAGCCACCTTCCCAGTCCCATATTTTCATTCTTATAACCATCTTTCAAGGGAGGTTCCATACCCATTTTATAGATCGTGACAAAAAGAACAAAATAAGTTAGTTGCCAGTTCCATACTCATTGACAAATTTAAATCTAAGTCTGTCTAGGTTCTGGATTCTGCTTTCCAAGTTTGGGTAATTATAATTTTCTTTTTGTTTTATATTTTCTTTTTTTTTTTTGGGTCCGGTCGTGGGGCCTGAACTCTGGGCCTGGGCACTGTCCCTCAGCTCTTCAGCTCAAGGCGAGTGCTCTACCACTTGAACCACAGCACCACTTCCAGTTTTCTAGTGGTTTATTGGAGATAAGAGTTTCATGGACTTTCCTGCCAGGGCTGGCTTTGAACTGAGATCCTCAGATCTCAGCCTCCTAAGTAGCTAGGGTTACAGGTGTGAGCCACCAGTGCCCGCTAAAGCACCATTTTTTATGTGCTAGTCTTAGAGCCTGAACTCAGGGGTCTGGGCTATGTCACTGAGTTTTTCTTTTCTTTTTCTGGTCCAGGGGCTTGAATTCAGGGCCTGGGCGCTGTCCTTGAGCTTCTTTTTGCACACAGCTAGGACTCTACCACTTGAGACACAGTTCCACTTCCTGCTTTTTCTGAGTAGTTTATTGGCGACAAGAGTCTCACTGTAGAGTGAGTATGCATCCCTCTGTACAGAAGTAAATTACCTTAACTGGCTCATGGGCCAGTTAAGTCACTGGTGGCTCACACCTGTAATCCTAGCTACTCAAGAGACTGAGATCTGAGGATCATGGTTTGAAACTGGCCCAGACAAGAAAGCCATGACACCTCTATCTCCAATAAACTACCCCCAAAAAGCCAATAGAGTGGAAAATAGAGGAAAAGAATCTCAGGTACAGTGTCCAAGCCCTGTGTTCAAGCCCTAGGATTGGCACCAGAAAAAAAAAATCTCATGGATGTTCCTGCCTGGGCTGGCTTCAAACTGCAAACCTCAGGTCTCAGCTGTCTGAGTATCTAGGATTATAGGAGTGAGCCACTGATGCCTGGCTATCTCTGAGCTTTTTGGTGGTTAATTGGAGATAACATTTCACAGATGGGCTGGGAAGGTGGCTCAGTGGTAGAGTGCTTGCCTTGCATGCATGAGACCCTAGGTTCGATTTCTTAGCACCACATAAGCAGAAAAAGCCGGAAGTGGTGCTGTGGTTCAAGTGGTAGAGCACCAGTCTTGAGCTGAAAAGCTCAGGGAGAGCGCCCAGGCCCAGAGTTCAAGCCTCACGACCAAATAAAAGAAAAAAAGATTTCATAGATTCATCTCTTTGTCTCAAGGCAAGCACTCTACCACTGAGCCATAGCACCACTTCCAGTTTTCTGGTGGTTTTACTGGAGATAAGAGTCTCACGGACTTTTCTGCCCAGGCTGGCTTTGAACCATAATCCTCAGATCTCAGCCTCCTGAGTAGCTAGGATTACAGGCATGAGCCACCGATGCCCGGCTTCACAGACTTTCTTGACCAGGTTGGTTTTGAACTGAAATCCTCACATCTTAGCCTCTGCTAGGATTATAGGTGTGAGCCACCAGTGCCCAGCTCACATATCACTTGCTTTTTTTGTTGGTCATGGGGCCTGAACTCTGGGCCTGGGCACTGTCCTTCAGCTCTTCAGCTCAAAGCTAGCGCTCTATCACTTGAGCCACAGCACCATTTCTGGCTTTTTCTGCATATGTGGTGCTGAGGAATCGAACCCAGGGCCTCATGCATGCAAGGCAAGCACTCTACCACTGAGCCACCCTCCCAGCCCACATATCACTTATTTTTAAAAAAAGGAAAAACTGAAATGGAAAGGAGCCATTACCTGGGTTCATTGGGGATACTGCATTCTAGGAATCTGTGTCCTAGGGATAAGGGTTGTTAGTATAGAATCACTTACCATTGATGATGGTGGTGTTGGCCCAGATAACCTGTCCATCTGGCAGTACCTTTTGGCTTTCAGGGAAATTCAAGGCAATAGAGAAGGATGCATTTGCTCCAATCAGTGTAGGTCCATCATTACTAATCTTCAGATTCACCTGGCCACCTAGGAAGAAAGGTACATTAACTAGGACTCCTTGGCTTTCCCTTTCCATATATCTCTTCCCTTCCTTCCTTCCCAGGTTACATTCATCCCAGCTCTTGCTCCCCTCTCCATCCCAACTTCTAGGTTCCCACCTCTCCAGCAGTCAGGTCTCTGAACTCCTGTCCACTGTGGATACAGCTGCCGGTTCCAGGCGGTAGGTTTCTGTTGCCTTGAGACACCAAGCCAATCATGGTTTCTGGATCCTAAAGAAATATGCTATGAGAAATCTGGGGTTGTGTGTGTGTGTGTGTGTGTTGGTCCTGGGGCTTGAACTTAGAACCTGGGTGCTGAGGTTTTTTACTCAAGGCAAACATCCACTTGAGCCACAACCCCACTTCCAGTTTTGTCTCCCTGGCCCCGCTTTTTTTTTTTTTTTTTTTTAAATTTTGTGCCAGTACTGGGGCTTGGACTTGGGGCCTGGGTGCTGTCCTTGAGCTTTTTTGCTAATGGTCTACCACTTGAGTCATAGCTCCACTCACTTCCAAAGTTTTGCTGTTAGAGATAAGAGCCTCAAGGACTTTCTTGACTGGGCTGGCTTAGAACCTCAATCTTCAGATCTCAGCCTCCTGGGTAGCTAGGATTATAAGCATAGGACACTGGCACCCAGCTCCAAAATGTCTTTTTTTCCCTCCTCAGTGATAAAAATTGGACATAGAGCCTCACTTGTGCCATACAAATGCACCACGCCTGAGCCATAACTCTGCCCTGAAAATAATGCCTTTTTTATTTTTATTTTTTGCCAGTCCTGGGGCTTGTACTAGGGGTCTGGGCACTGTCCCTGAGCCCCTCTGAGCTCAAGACTACACTTTAGCCGGGCGCTGGTGGCTCACGCCTGTAATCCTAGCTACTCAGGAGGCTGAGATCTGAGGATCACGGTTCAAAGCCAGCCCGGGCAGGAGAGACCATGAGACTCCTATCTCCAATAAACCACCAGAAAACCGGAAGTGGCGCTGTAGCTCAAGTGGTAGAGCGCTCACCTTGAGCTGAAGAGCTGAGGGACAGTGCCCAGGCCCAGAGTTCAAGCCCCACGACCGACAAAAAAAAAAAAAAGACTACACTTTACCACTTGAGTCACAGTACTACATCTAGCTTTTTCTGCTTATGTGGTACTGAGGAATCAAACCCAGGACTTCCTGCATGCTAGGCAAGCACTCTACCACTAAGCTACATTCCCAGCCCCAATAATGCTTTTCTTATTTTTTATTTAAAAATTTTTTTTTTGTCTGTCATAGGGCCTGAACTCTGGGCCTTCAGCTCAAGGCTAGCGTTCTACCACTTGAGCCACAGCGCCATTTCTGGCTTTTTCTGCTTATGTGGTGCTGAAGAATTGAACCCAGGGCCTCATGCATGCAAGGCAAGCACTCTACCACTGAGCTACCTTCCTAGCCCTTTATTTTTATTTTTAAAACTTCAGTATATAAGCTGGGCACCAATGGCTCATACCTGTAATCCTAGCTACTCAGGAGGCTAAGATCCGAGGATTGTGGTTCAAAGCCAGCCCTGGCAGGAAAGTCTGTGAGACTATTCTCTCCAATTAACCACCAGAAAACTGGAAGTGGCACTGTGGCTCAAGTGGTAGAGTGCTAGCCTTGAGGTGCAAGGACAGCACCCAGGTCCAGAGTTCAAGACCCATGACCAACACAACAAATTCAGTATATAAAATGAAAGGTCAATCTGTGTGTGTGTGTGTGTGTGTGTGTGTGTGTGTGTGTGTAGTTTAATTGGTGATACAAGTTTCACGGACTTTTCTGTTGGCTGGCTTTGAATCTCAATCCTCCAGATCATAGCCTCCTGAATAGCTGCAATTTCAGGTGTGAGCCACTGGCATCCAGCTGTAAGTACAATCTTTTAAAAGAGCCTTAGATTATCTGGGCACCAGCTGCCTACACATGTAATCCTAATTCCTTTAGAGGCTGAAACTGGGAGGATCTAAGCCAGCCCAGGTTAAAAAGCTTGAGATACTCCATCTCTAAACAGAAAAATGCTGGGCTGAAGGTAAGGTTCAAGTGGTAGAGCACCAGGCATGAGTGGGAAACCTGAGCGCTCAAGGTTATTGAGTTCAAACCCCAGTATCCCTGACTGGCACAAAAAAATAAAATTAAGTAAGGTGGGCTGGGAAGGTGGCTCAGTGGTAGAGCACTTGCCTTGCATCCATGAGGCCCTGGGTTCGATTCCTTAGCACCACATAAGCAAAAAGAAAAAGCCGGAAGTGGCACTGTGGCTCAAGTGGTAGAGTGCTAGCCTTGAGCTGAAGAGCTGAGGGACAGTGCCCAGGCCCAGAGTTCAGGCCCCACGACTGGACCCAAAAAACAAAACAAAACAAAAAATAAGTAAGTCAATAAAGGCTCAGGGGTGAACAGAATGTTTCTAGCATACATTAAGGAACAACAATAAAAAGAAGACTTGAGCTGGGTATAGGTGGCTCATGCCTGCAATCCTAGCTACTCAGGAGGCTGAGATCTGAGGATTGCAGTTAGTTCAAAGCTCAGCTCAGGCAGGAAAGCTTGTGAGACTTTTTTTTTGGGGGGGGGAGGGGTCGGTCATGGGGCTTGAACTCTGAGTCTGGGCGCTGTCTTTGAGCTCTTCAGCTCAAGGCAAATGCTCTACCACTTGAGCCACAGCGCCACTTCCAGTTTTCTAGTGGTCTATTGGAGATAAGAGTCTCACAGACTTTCCTGCCCAGGCTGGCTCTGAACAGTGATCCTCAGATCTCAGCCCCCTGAGTGAGCCACGGGTGCCTGGCTTGTGAGACTCTTATCTCCAACTAACTACCAGAAAAACTGGAAGTGACACTGTGGCTCAAGTGGTAGAGCACTAGCCTTGAGCTAAAGAGCTAAGGGATACACCCAGGGCCAGAGTTCAAGCCCCACGACCAACAAAGAAAACAGAAAGAAAAGACTTGGAACTCCAACACAAGTGAGGAAAGTCAGATAAAAGAGAAATTCCTAGCAAATGGAGTTGTGGCTCAATAGAGCCTTGAATAAGAAAGCTCAGGAACAGCACTCAGGGCTCTGAGTTCGAGAGAGAGAGAGAGAGGAGAGAGAGGGAGAAAGGGAGAGAGGGGGGAGAGAGGGGGAGAGAGGGAGAGATAAAGAGGGAGAAAGGGAGAGGGGGAGAGAGGAGAGAGAGAGAGGGAGAGAGAGGGAGAGAGGGAGAGAGGGAGAGAAAGAGAGAGCGAGAGGGAGAGAGGGAGAGAAAGAGAGATTCCTAGAATTCTGTGAAACTAGGTAATCGAGAAAGAAAAAGACAGGCTGTGATAAGGCATAGCATGTTAAAGCACAGCAGAAACTATCTCCATCCCATTACTAACATACACTGGGAACCTGGGTTGTTCTGCTGGGAACTGATCTGGAATCCTCTCACTAAGCACCCCACCACCAGAGCAAGAGAAGTCATAAGATGCTCCATTCTTTCTCCTTTTCCAACCCTCCCTCCTTGGCAGCACGGGACATTCCAGACCCTCTCACCACCACCATCTCCCCCGCCTCCCCAGCTCCTGGTCACGAGGCCCCAATCCCCCAGAGTCCATGCATGTGACGCTCAGCTGAGACCCTCCTGCCTGTCTCTCCCAGCCCCCCAACATTAAGGCCTGTTCTGTGTTCACCCTTCCCCCATCCTAAAGTGGGAAAATGTTGTATTCTTCACCTTCTTAATCAAACACCACATTTTCTCACTTTAAACCACCTATCCCAAATACCTGAGACATTGCCTGAAAAAAATCCCTTGGACCCATTGGGAGCTTCTGCTCCAGCTAGCTCACTGCCCAGAGTTAGTACTACACCTCTGGACACCGGCAAGATAGGATAGGATTCTTCTCATGCTTAGTCCCAAATTTTGTGTAGGGAGAGAGGTCAGGTGTCCATATCCTCACCAAACCAAATACGTTAGCAAAACTGAAATATAACTGGTAGTTTCCATTAACAGGGATAGGGGGAAACCAGAGCAGGTGTTCAACTAATTCACACCCACTCCAGTCCACACACACTCACCTTCTGTGGCCCCCGCAGCCAGCAGAGCACTCAGTACAGACAAATGGAGAAGGTACCTTCCCAGCACCATCTCTACTCAGTTCTCTCCAGCAACCAAAGGTGGGGGGGGGGGCTAGAATAAGCCCCTATATAGGAAAGGGATTCTCATTTGCATAGCCCTTCCTCTTCTCCTTATGAGAGGGGCGGGAGATCAGAGAGAAGCAGACAGGGCTTGAGATCCTGGTCCCAGGATTCCTTTTCCATCTCACTACTTTAATGAGTTTCTGGCTTCCCTGGGTCACACTCTATCATCTCACATCACTTGACACACTCCATTTCTTAGGAGAGAGTTGATTGATAGTTCTGTAACACAGTAACACATGCTCAACAAACAATTCATTAGGGGATAGTGAAATCAAAATCAGAAACCTCTCCAGACAGGACAGAATTCGGTTATCCACAGCCAGAGATTGTATTGGTGTACCCTGAGAGATGACTCTTTTGAGTTCCACAAATTGTTTATGATAAGATTCCTGGCTTTTTGTTTAGGTTTTTAGAGACAGGGTGTCTCTATGTATCCTAGGACAGCCTCAAACTGTAGTTGAGGCTGGCCCTGAACTCTGAATCCCCTCATCCCTGCATGAGATTACAGAGACTACTATTCTTGCAGGCTTTCTAGTTTTTTTTGGGGGGGGGGTCATGAGGCATGAACTCAGGCCCTGGGCACTGTCCCTGAGCTTTCCTGCTCAAGGCTAGTGCTCTCCCACTTTAAGTCACAGCTCCACTTCTTGTTTTCTGGTGGTTAATTGGTGTTAAGAGTCTCATGGACTTTCTTACCCCAACTGTCTTTGAACTGTGATCTTCAGCTGTCATCCTCCTGAGTAACTAGGATTACAGGCCTGAGCCACCAGCTTCTGGATTTTGTTTTATTTTTAAGGACACCCTGGGGTTGGGGGCTCATGCCTGTAATACTAGCTACTCAGGAGGCTGAGATATAAGGATGGAAGTTGATTGCCAGCCTGGACAGCAAAGTCCATAAAACATTCATCTCCAATTAAGCACCAAAAAGCCAGAAGTGGAGGTATAGCTCAAGTGGTAGAATGCTAGCTCTGAGAGAAAGAGCTCAGGGACAGTGCCCAGGCCCCAGAATCAACGCACACACACACTAAAAAAGGGAGAGTGCCAGAGGGAAGAAGCTAAGCACCTACACCTTGAGTTCTAGACCCAGTACTGGCCCTCCAAAATAAAAAGGACACCCTGCTGGGTGCCAGTGACTCATACCTGTAACCTAAGAGGCTGAGATCTGAGGATCATGGTTTGATGTCTGCCTGGGCAGGAAAGGTCATCAGACTCTTATCTCCAATAACACACACACACACACACACACACACACACACACACACACACACGGCTGGAAGTTCAGCTGTGGCTCAAGTGGTAAAGTGCTAGGTTTGAGCAACCAGGCCCTGGCCAAAATAAATAAATAAAGAGGAATCCTGGGCCAGGTGGAATTTAATCTCGCTCAAGGAGTGGTAAAAATAAGCAGGGGCCAGGAATCCCTACAGACACAGGACCTCAAGCCCCAACCAAGAACCAGAGAAAAACTTTTCAACCCGGTCCACACAGCGAAAGAAATCTGACTCGCAGCACTCCAGAACCAACCTTGCACGGGCGGGGTCCAGCGCGGGCGAGGAGCGCGGGGGTCGCCTCGCCCTCTCTGACGTTAGCCAATCGGAACGAGGGGGCGGAGCCAGGTAAACGCGGGAAGCGGGGGCGGGGCCTCGGCTGGCGGCCGGGAACTGGTTAGGGTGGGGGGGGAGGCGGCAACATTGTTTCAAGTTGGACAAATTGACAAGAGCCAGACTGAGACCGTGTTCCATCCTGACCTGGGGGCTACGGGGCTGAGATCTGTTTCTCCCCCCGCCCCTTCTCTTCCGCCCGCGAAAAGTCGGAGCCCTCTTTCATTTAGGGTTTCCAGGCACCCCCCCCCCCGCTCTAGGAACCGGACAGATTCAACTCGCTAGTGCTTCATGGAGAACTTCCAAAAGGTGGAAAAGATCGGAGAGGGCACGTACGGAGTTGTGTACAAAGCCAAAAACAAGTTGACTGGAGAAGTGGTGGCGCTTAAAAAAATCCGCCTGGACACGTGAGTGATCTCGGTAGCTGGGGCTTTCAACTCGGGAGCTGCTTGATTGTCTCCCGCCCTCCCCCCGCCCAACCTCCCCGAACAGGCGGGTAGCCGTCCCGGGACCGGAAAGTAGCCCGGGAAGGGCTTCGTTTTTGAAGTGGAGGGGTGAGTGAGTTGACGAGCGGTAGTGAGTCTCTCTGGGAGAGTGACTATACACACTGACATGGAACCCACGGAAAAACTTTTCTTCCTATCCTGAGCCCGGGGTGCTCCCCACTGTGCAAGCAGCGAAAACCGGGGAAGAGAAAGGAGGCCTCTGGGATCGGGCCCAGGACTCCTCATGGAACTGGGCTATGGGGGGGGATCCGCAGGGAGCACCTTTCCAAAGACAGAGCCCCCCTCGCTGCCCCAACCCCACCCTCATCGTAGAATTCTTCCCCTCTTTCAAAAGAGTGGCAGTTGGGCCTCACTGGCCCTCTGAGGGAGGTCGGGTGCTCCTCTCACTTTTTTTTCCCACTCTCTCTAGTATCTTCTCTCTGCTCACCACTTCACCGGGAGGTTTACTTACCTTCCCCTGAGAAAAGAAATAATGACTTTACTGTGTCCAAAAACCACACCCTGACTACCCAGGAATTAACTCCTTATAGCACCCTGCTTTCTTATCTGAATTTTCCAAGGGAATCCTAGGGTGGGGGTGAGGTGGGGAGGGGGAGGTATGTTTGTAACCATATTCCCATTTCTGCTTCCCCAACCTTTGTAAGTGAGACTGAGGGTGTTCCCAGTACTGCCATCCGAGAGATTTCTCTGCTTAAGGAACTTAACCACCCTAATATTGTCAAGTAAGTATGGGGGTGGGGGGTGGGAGATGACCTGATAAGGAAGGAGGCTCAAGTTGAGTCCTGTTTGTATATAGCCTGAGTGCTTTCTCCCTCAACGCCATTTCCTTGACCTCCTCTCTGCAGGCTGCTGGATGTCATCCACACAGAAAATAAACTGTACTTGGTGTTTGAATTTTTGCACCAAGATCTCAAGAAATTCATGGATGCCTCTGCACTCACGGGCATTCCTCTTCCCCTCATCAAGGTATTATGCATATATTTTGGGGAGACTAGGGACAGGCAGTTCCGACTTGGATAATTTGTAATTTTGGCCAGCCTCCCAGCCCAAACACCTCCTCTCTTCCCCCCTCCCATATTTTTTCTTTTGTTTTCTTTTGGTTCCCTGCTCATTAACCTGAGGGTTTAGCTGAAGAATCAAAGTTGAAATTCTAGTGAGTCAGCCTAGCAGTTCAGGTGGAAGGTCAGATGAAACTAAGATAAATGGGATGGGATTTGAAGCTAAGCCAGTTACAAGAATCCTCAAAAAAGCCCTTCTCCCCACTTAATGGGGGAAATAACTAGTGTGTCTCAGTTGTCTGTTTTTGAACAGTTCTTCATTCCCAGAGTTTGCTGTCTTCTCTTTCTTCCTCTTTTTTTGTGCTTATATCAGGCTTGAACTCAAGGCCTCAACTCACACTCAGAGCCACGCCTCGTCTATCTAGCAAAAAACTAGTTATCCTCACATCTCAGTAGCAAGGATAACAAGCTAGGATAACAAGCACTGACCGTGCCTTTTTTTTTTTTTTTTTTTTGAGTGCCAGTTCTGGGGCTGGAACTCTAGATCTTGGCACTGATCCTTAGCTTTTTCACTTAAGGCTGGTGCTTATCACTTGAGCCATAGCTCCTCTTCCAGCTTTTTTGATGGCTAATTGGAGAGAAGTGTCTCATGGGCATTCCTGTCCAGGCTGGCTTTGAACTGCACTCCTCAGATCTCAGCCTCCTGAGTAGCTAGGATGACAGGTGTGAGCCACTAGTGCCTGGCTTAGCTCTGTTAATTATTGGTTATTTTGGAGATGGAACTTAGAAACTTTTCTAAGGGGTTGGGAATAGGAGTAGAGGGAAAGTGAGAGAAAATGAGGGAGGAGTTAATACTGTTCAAAAAGAAATGTATAGCCGGGTGCCGGTGGCTCACACTTGTAATCCTAGCTACTCAGGAGGCTGAGATCTGAGGATCGAGGTTCAAAGCCAGCCTGGGGAGGAAAGTTCGTGAGACTCTTATCTCCAATAAACCCTAGAAAACCGGAAGTGGTGCTGTGGCTCAAGCAGTAGAGCGCTCGCCTTGAGCTGAAGAGCACAAGGACAGCGCCCAAGCCCAGACAGAATTCAAGCCCCATGACCGACAAAAAAACAAAAAACAAAAAAAAGAAATGTATGTACTCATTATCTTAATTATATAACTGTAACCCTCCGTACATTACCTTTACAATAAAATAAATCGATGCTTCTATGCAGGCTGGCCTTGAATCATGATCCTTAAGATCTCAGCTAGGATTATATAGATGTGATCCACTGGCTCCAGGTTCCCAGAGCTAATTCAGTCTATCAGCAAATGCTTACTTTTTTTGTCCTGGTACTTGAGTTTTAACTGTTCTCACTAAGACTTTTTGCTCATGGCTGGCACTCCAACAAATGTTAAACACAAATATGTTGAGTATCTTTAGTATGTTAGGTATAGAGTAGGTAAAGAGTGCATAAGAGTACTGGAACTACGGGCTGGGAAGATGGCTCAGTGGTAGAGCGCTTGTCTTGCATTCCTGAGGCCCTGGGTTCGATTCCCCAGCACCACATAAGCAAAAAGAAAAAAAGCCAGAAGTGGTGCTGTGGCTCAAGCGCTAGAGCGCTAGCCTTGAGCTGAAGAGCTGAGGGACAGCGCCCAGGCCCAGAGTTCAGGCCCCACGACCGGACCCAAAAAAAAAAAAAAAAAGAGTACTGGAACTAGAGGTGTGGCTCAAGTGGTAGATAGTCAGCCATAAGTGAAAATCTAAATGAAAGCTTGAGGCCTTAAGTTCAACCCCTCCCCCCATGACTAAGTCCTTTCCCTTACTGGACTGAAAGTCCAATGGAGAATACCTGCCAAGAGCTAGT